GCGCGAGGGACCGTGGAGCTGAGGGTCGGGGCCCCCAAGGCAGCTGGGAGGGGGCGGGGAGGGCAGTGGGGTGCAGGAGCCGGAGCTGGGCTGGGAGCCCGGATTCCTGCCAGGGCCCGCGCCTCCCCCAGGAGAAGCAGGCGGTGCTGAGCGCCCTGGCGCACACGGCACAGCTGGCCCACGAGATCCTCAACCGGGCGCCTGGCCTCTGCTGCCACCCCACCCAGGGCGCCGCGGCTGCCTTCCCCCAGCGGCGGGGAGGGCAGTGGGGTGCAGGAGCCGGAGCTGGGCTGGGAGCCCGGATTCCTGCCAGGGCCCGCGCCTCCCCCAGGAGAAGCAGGCGGTGCTGAGCGCCCTGGCGCACACGGCACAGCTGGCCCACGAGATCCTCAACCGGGCGCCTGGCCTCTGCTGCCACCCCACCCAGGGCGCCGCGGCTGCCTTCCCCCAGCTCCGCACCCCCCCGGTGAGACAGGGGCGCCAGGGGTGGTGGGTCCAGCCCAGCCCGAGCCGGACCCCCTGACTCCCCTCAGGCACGAAGCCTGGAGCCTGACGCCGCCTTCTGCCGGGAGCTGCTGGAGGCGATGGGGATCGTGCTGGCGCCGGGCAGCGTGTTTGGGCAGTGCCCGGGCACCACGTCATGGTACCAGGGGCCGCCTGGGGGAGAGGAAGGAACCCCAACCCTAACCCCCTGCCCCACTCACAGCGTGTCCCCCCCAGGCTGTCCCTGCTGCCCCCGGCCGAGACGCCGCGGACGGTGCTGGAGACCATGGAGGACTTGCACGGCGCCTTCCTGCAGGCCTACGCCTGACAGGGCCGGGGGGGAGGCCGTGTGTCCGGCTGAGTGCCCCCCCTCCACCCGACACGCTGATGAAGAGAATCGTGGCACGAAGGCTTCAGCCCTTTGCGACGTGGCACAAGGGTCCGGGGCTGCCAAGACTTGGCCCAGGGCAGCAGGGGGTGGAGGCTGCGGGTCGGGAGTGAGGGGCATTGGCAGGGCTGGGGGGGCAGGGGGCTGCAGGGTGGGAGCGAGGGGCACTGGCAGGGCAGACCCGGGCGGCGTGCGAGCAGGTGTCTGGGTGCGAAGGGAAGCTGGATGGGACCTTGGCCCTGGGTGGGTTAATAGGGAACTTGGGGGGGGCGGGGGGACAGGCGGTGCCTGGGCCCTGACCCTGAAAGGGACTTGCCCCCTGTTGGGGGGGCGTGCAGATTCGCTCCTGGCCTTAACCCTTCCCTGCCTGCAGCTGCACCTGGGAGGGTGCTGGGCTCCTCCACAGCAGCTGGGTGCGGCCCTGCGCCCCTTCCCACCTGTGAGCACGACCAGGGTCCCCTGGCAGGGGGCAGGGGCGGCCCCGGCGGGAGGGGGAGCTGCAGCCAGCGCCCCTGGGAAAACAGCACAGTCCTGCCCAAGCCATGCCCGTGGGGCTCGCATCCGGCTGCAGCCCTGCCAGCCTCCGCGGCAGGCAGAGCATCGAGCCTGGGGCCAGGATAAGAGCCTCTGGCCGGCCCCGTGGAGGGGTGCAGGGCACCGGGAGCAAGGGCTGAAGAACAGGCCGTTTAATGTCCGAGCTGGAGCATGAGGGGTCACGGAGCTGTGCAGGGCACCCGAGGGTCCTGGGCAGCCTGGTGCGGGCAGCGGCAGGGCAGGCCTGGCCCCTGGCCTGCCCCCTCTCTGTGCCTGTGCGAGTCCGGCCGTGGCCCCGAGACGATGCCCAGTCCCAGAGCGGTCCTGGGGAGGGCTGTCAGTGCCCGAGTACCCGCATCAGCTGCCAGCCGGCGGGGCACCGAGCACGTAGAGGAGGGCCCCCAGCGAGAGCAGGAGGAAGCCACCGAAGCTGAGCCCGAAGCCGAGCTGGTCCACGAGGCCACCAACGACCGTGCTGAAGGCCAACTTGCCCAGCACCTCGAGGGCGGCCAGGACGCTGTAGTGCGTGGCCTGCGGGGACAGACGGTGCCCGGTGCCGTGTTAGCCTGCAGTGCCGGGGCGGAGGCCAGGCCCCGAGGTGTCCGGTGCATCCCCAGGCCACACTCCCGGGGGTAGGGGCGGGCGCAGGGTACCTGGATGCTGGTGTCGGCCCGCTGCGTGCACTGCATCATGGCGCTGAAGGTCAGGGTGGTGATGAGCCCCCCGAAGAGGTGCTGGACGCAGAGGCTCAGAACGGCGGCCGCTGCAGAGGGGAGAGAGGCAGACACAGCTCAGCGTGTGAGAGGCACCCGCGTGTGCCCTGCTTCTGCCACCGATCTTCCCTGGGGCAAGGCACTTCACCTCTCGGAGGAGGTGGGTGGAGAACGGGGCAGGGGCAGGGGCTGGGGGCATCCAGACACATTGCAAGGGGCAGAAGGTTGTTTTCAGCTACATTCTGCCTGCAGGAAATGCTGGTGTCTTGCTGAACAACCCTGGCCCCAGCGCGAAGCTTGACCATGCAGTCACTGTATCCCCCCTGGGGCGCAGAGTCCCCGAGCCGCGGGGCTAGCAGGGGCCTGCGGGGTCACATCCAGTCCAGCCCTGCCTGAGGCAGGGTCAGCCCCATCCAAACCCCCCAGACAAACCCTGTGTGTGACCTTGGAGCCACACGACAGTCACCCCTGACAGCCCCAGGCATCGCCCCCCGCCCCTGGATACAGGGGGGCCACAGCTGCCAATGTCCTGCTGCTGCCGGGGGGTCACGGGCGCTGCAGAGACCCCAGGCCGAGGCCGTGTCCCCGCTGCAGAGGAAGGCAAAACCCCCAGTGCGCACCAGTCTGAGCAGGGGGAAATCCCGTCCTGCCCCAATGCAGTGCGGGGGCAAGACCCTCCAGCCAGGACCCTGCGGGTCGGTGCAGCAGGAGCACTGGCACAGTCCAGCCCCATCCCTAACACCCAGGGCCTTTGGGGGAGGTTTCAAACCTCCCCCCCACCCCGGCACATGGAGCAGGGAGGGGCAAACATACACCCGACTGGCAACCAGCACAGCCCAGAAGCTGGGACATCCCCACAGCAGAGCATGGGCATCGCTGCGCCCAGATCATCCCCACCCAGTGCCCGTCCAGCCTGTCCCTGAACCCCTCCAGTGCGGGAGAGTCCCCTTTCCTGCCGTCTACCCCACTCCCTCCCAGCTCCCACAGGGAAGCAGCTTTTCCTGATCTCCAACCTAAACCTGCTTTGCTGCAACTTCCGGCCAGGGGTCCGTGTCCACCTCCGCAGCTAGAGACAAGGAGCTTCCCCTCCTCTCTGGCAGCCCTCGAGTCATCCACAGAGCCCTGCTGTGTCCCCTCTGAAGCACCTTTCCCATCCGCTGAACCTGCCCGGCTCCTCCAGCCTCTCCGCCTGTGACTTCCCTTCCGAGCCCTTGATCTTTGCTCCCTGCCCGGCACCTCCCTCGCTTCTGGTTGAGGGGAGTTTTCCAAGGGTGTGGATGATGGATTTGCCCAGGCTGGCTGGGACGGGGCTGATCCTGCCTCAGGAGGGGTTGGACTGGATGCGACCCTGCGGGTCCCTGCCTGCCCCACGACTCCGGGACTCTAGGATCCTCCCCATCCTTTTTAAAACACGGAGCCCAGAACTGCACAGGCCCCTCGGTGAGGCCTGACCAGCGCTGAGCACTGGGGCACGATCGCATCCCACGCGATGTGACTCGTCCAAACCACGCCGAGCTCTGCCACAGAACAACTGCTCCAGTCCTTTCCCAGACTCAGAGCTGAGTGCAAGCAAAGAGCCGGCATTTGCTGCACGGGCCCCGAGTCCAATGCAAGGGCCCGGAGTCTGACAAGCTTGGGAACCAGAAAGCAGCGGGGAGGGAGCTTGGGGGCTCCCCCAGACCCACTGGCCAGGCTCCCCAGCTGGACCACAGCTCCCGGACGATGCCTTGTGGGGCACGGGGCAGCCGACTTGGAGCCCGTTGTCTATCGTGCTCCCAGCGAGAGACCCCGCGGGGCTCAGCTTACCTCCAAGGAGAGAGATGTGGGGGTCGTACGCGAGCAGCAGCAGGGTCTGCAGGCTCAGGCCACAGAAGCGGAGCAGCAGCAGCGTCTTCAGCAGAGCCAGCGGCTGCCTGGAGGGGAGACAGACTTGAGGCAGAAGCTGCCCATGGAGTCGGGACTGGGCTGGGCGCCCCCCTCCCCACCTGGCCAAGGGGATCGTGACCTGGAGAGAGCAGCAGTGAGGACAGGGGGCCCCTCACCGCGCTCTCCCAGCCCGTCTGCACGTCCGCCCCGCGAGCCCCCGTCCGCGTTACCTCTGCCTGGACATCAGCTGCCCGCCCAGCGAGGAGCCCAGGATGGAGCAGGCCACGGCGACCATCCCGTTCCAGAGCCCCAGCTGCTGCGGCGTGAACCCGTGGTCCAGCAGGAACAGCGGGAACATGGTGGCGGCTCCCTGCTCCCCTGCAAGGGAAAGGGGTGCCGTCAGGTGAGTCTTGGCCCCCAGCTCCCCCCTGGGGGCTTTCTGCCCACGGCGGGTCATACAGCCCCACTGTATCGGCAGCCACTATGTCCAACTGTGCCCTCACAAAGAGGGACTGGGAACGCCTGGCTGGGCTGCAGAGAAGGACCTGGGCGTTATAGCGGACCAGCAGCTGAACAGGAGCCAGCCGCACGCTCGGGTGCAAAACACGCCGAAGCCTCCCAGGCCTCTTCCAGCTCGGCTTTCCTGTGACAGATCAGAAACGGCTTCTTCGCTGTCGGAGCAGGGGGGCGGTGGGACAGACGGCAGGGAAGGGGGGACTCTTCGTCACTCGAGCTGTGCAAGCATGAGCGGGGGATGATCTAGGTGTAGCGATGCCTGCGTTTTACTCTGGAGACTCCCCCGGCTCCTGGGCTTTGCTGGGTCCACATGGAGCCGGGAGGGACCTCCGCCCCCTTGCTGCCGTGCCCGTCAGCCTTGGGGTTTTTCTCCAGCTCTCCCCCGAGCGCTGGGTGCTGCAGCGCAGGCTGGGGATGGGGCTGGGCTGCGCCAATGCTCCTGCTGCACCAACCCCGCAGGGTCCTGCCCAGGCGCTCGGGCTCACCCCACGCTGCACTGGGGCAGGATGGGATTTCCCCTTGCTCAGACTGGTGTGCACTGGGGGAGGGGGAGGGAGGGTTGCCTTCCTTTGCAGCAGGGGCACGGCCTCGGCCGGGGGTCTCTGGAGCATCCGTTCACCTTTTACAGCAGCAGGACGTTGGTGGCCGCGGCCCCCCCAGGTTTCCCTGGGGCAGGTTCGGGTGTGATGCCTGGGGTGTGTCGGGGTGACGGTCGTTTTATGAAGAGTTTAGATGATGGTTTGTCTGGGCGGGTTTGCACGGGGCTGATCCTGCCTCGGGCAGGGGGTTGGCCTGGGTGGGACTCGGCAGGTTCCTTCCAAACCGAATTCCCTGTGATGATCACTATGACCTGGGACCCGCAGGGTGATGACAGAGAGGATGGAGACGGGCTTTGCTCTGTGGCTTTCGGAGTCAGGTCGAGGAGCAACAGCCTCAAGCTGCAGCAGGGGAACCTGAGGCTGGAGATGAGGAGAAAGGCTCCGACTGAGGGGGGTCCAGCGCTGGAACAGGCTGCCCAGAGGAGCGCGGGATCTCCATCCTTGGAAACCTTCAAGAGCAGGTGTGTCCGGATGGACACACTTGAATCAGGGCTAACCCTGCCCGGCGCGGGGGGCTGCACGAGATGTGGCCTCGTGAGGTCCCTCCCAGCTTGACTTTCCCGCGACCCAGTGACGTGACCCTGCGGGACCCTCCTTCCCCGACTCACCCAGCTTGTAGAGGAGGACGAATCCCGCGGTCCACGGGGTGCCCGGCACGCGGAGAACCTCCCGGACAATCCTCCGCGGCTCGAGGGTCCCGGCCGGGGCTTGGCTCTCCCAGCTGGGGGGCCGCGG